TGCATTTTATTTTATTTTATTTATTTATTTATTATTATTATTTTTTGGTACCAGGGATTGAACTCAAGTCCTTGTGCTTTCAAGGCAGGTGGCAGAACCACTGAGCTAAATCCCCAGCCCAAAATTTGCATTTTAAACAAGAACCTCCACCAGTGGTTTTGTATATACAAAGATCTGAGTATTATCAATATACAGGATACTCAAGCTCATTGATTTTAAGGAATAAATATTAAATTTAGAAAAAAGCTTAGTGTACACCAATGCAAAACTCCAACACATGTATGTTTTCTTTTCCTCCAAGGCCTTTCCTTCCTTTTGTTCAACAGATGCCACTCAATGTTCTTTTCTCAGCAACCAAGTAAGTGACTATTATTTCAAAACTCTTTTTACAATTTATTATTTGCTCTCAGAAAATAGTTCTCTAAATCCATATTTTCAAACTGTGGACCACAAACCATTAGAAGGGAAACAACAACCTCCCTTCTCCCTTCAGGGATATACTAAAGTTTGAGTGTTACCAATACACAGGATATTTGTACATTTCTTAGTATGAGTCGTTTTACTCTGTGCTGCTATAACAAAATAATAAATATTCATTTCTCACAGTTCTGGAAGCTAGGAAGTCCTATATCAAAGCACTAGGACTTGGTGTCTGGTGAGGGCTGCTTGCTGTGTCCTCACTTGGCTGAAGGGAAGAATGCTATATTCTCACATGGTAGAAGGCAGAAGGGCAAAAGAGATCTACTGGTTACCTTCAGATCTTTTATAAAGCACTATTCCATTCAAAGGGCTTATCACTCCCCATGAAGGCTCCACTAAAATGGGGACAAAGCTTCAACGTGAATTTTGGAGGGAATATACATTCAGACCATAGCAGTTGTGGTTAAGAAAAAAGTTGGAAAATGCTTCAAATGCCTTCTTTCCTTCCCTGAAACAAACTCTATTGATGTCAGTTCTTCAATATTTCGACAGTCATGAACTGTTCTGGGGATGCTAGAATTTTACAATCTAATAATCAGCTGACTTACACAAGGCAACATGGTACATGAAGATGAATGGAACATGGGTTCTGCTGCACAAAGAAAGGAGTGAAGAGCAGTGAGAGGGAAGAACAGTGCTAGGGCTGATCTGGGACAGCTGTCTTTAATTTCAGGGCAGCACAGCATTTCTTTAAAAATCTAGTTTTTGCTATACTCTTTTTGTGTTAATATAACTTGATTCTGTACTTTGATAGGAGATTTAAAAAATCCAGGGATTCATGAAACGATGGGGAAAAGAAGCCTTTTTTAAAAGGTCTCAAGTTCTGCACAGAATTGTATTTAGGGCTGGGTTTCAAGCATACATTTAAAGGAAACTTGTTATCCCTAACCATATATAACACCATGTGAACAGGACATATGTTATTGAATGTCTGTAACCCGCAAAATAAATGCCAATTATGATCCCACTTCTTCCATGAATTTTTAAGCCTGTGAGATGGAGAAAAGACTCTCTTTTCTCCCGAGACGGAGCAGCTCTGTAAGGTGCCAGTTTGCCAGGGACAGCTGCTGACTTGTATTCTAGAAATGCTTCATGTGAGCCAGGGGGGAGCTGTGAGATAGGTGGCTCCTTGTAGATCCCTCCTGTAATTCTTTAAAAGCAGGCTCACTGGATCACGGGCTTCGGAGGTCATAGATGCCTCAGGTTTAAACATGGTCACACTAATGATAGGGAGCTCAAGGCCTGCTGTGATTAACACCGTGCCTCATCTTCTTCCTCCTTCCTAAGTAACGGCACATAAGGGATAAAGATTTTTCTCCAAGGGTTAAACCATGGCATTTGGCATTCTAGATAGTCTCTGTCTCGCTTAGAAATTTTAAAAGAACGGATCAGTTTTCTTTTTTCTTTTCTTTTTGCTTAAATTCTTTTATTGGTACATTTTAGGTATACAATACATTTACATTTATCATTGGGTGCTTGTACCTGTACATAATGTATCTTGGTTCTTATTTTTTCCCCATTACCTGTGCTCCCTTCACTCCTCCACTCTTTCCTATTTACATTGTAAGACC